ATAGTAAGACAAGGACATCAGCGATGAACTATATGTGCGGGACACCAAAGAGCGACACAGTATAAATTTAGTTATATATAAGAATAATAGGCACCCAATTTCGAATTGAACAGGATTCAAACCTAGGCAGTGGGGTGTATAAGCCCACACCTTGATTTCCTGAATTAATCCATCTCTGAAATATTTTACCATAGACCTATATTTTGATGAATGAGGCATACCTTTGTGAGAAAATCTTGATTCTTTTGCTTTAAGATTATGAATACTTGGGTTGCAACGTCCATAGTCACCATATTGCTATTTAACCAGAAATCGATGAAGGCATCCCTGAAAACAAATAACATAAAACAGGATTTAACCGGGATTTTTTTTTGCACCCTGCAAACTAGTGCAAGTAGCCAAGTAGTCAACTACCTTGTGACAAATCCTGTGTTTTCCTTATCAATCTTCCCAAAAAGAACAGTGGTAAAGAATGATGGCAGTTTGCAGAGTTCCCTAGTGACCAGCCGAAACTCTATTATAGAACAAAAGGAGACAGAAAAGAATATTAGTTGACAGCATCACTCACAAACTGATCTGATCAAGATAGTTGACATCTTGGCACAAATTCATTTTTTTGTCTTCTACAAGACTATACAACATCACAAATAATTAACAGAACATGTTATGAAAATGAAAGCGAATACGGTCGGATGAAAACACCCAATGACTAAATCAGGATATGCTAGCTCCAGCATCCAGACACCATTAAATTATTTAATTATGATCAATTCCAAGAATCAATCCATTGTTAGAACGAAAAGAATCAAGGTTAGAACGAAAAGAATGTCTCAGATTGGATTTGGAGCAGACCTTGAATCCGGAGACCATTGGAGTGTCCAGCGAAGAGCTGATCAACAATCGCTATGCATTGCTTCTTCAGCTCGTATGTGGGTGGGCGCCCATCTTGAAAGTAGAACTGCCAATCAAAATCAACATTAACATTTATTTTGAAATAATTAGAATTGGCTCATTTCAACAACGGCAATGGCGATTCCATCGGCGAGAGATTGTTGCGTGGATTTGATCGATGGGGATCGAGGACGCGTACCTGGGGTATGACTTCCTTGACGGCGCGGGCGGTGGCCGGCCGGAGCGGGGAGGCGGAGCGGTTGGACTGGCCGCCGGTGCCCACGCCGCTGGGCCTCCTGGAGAGCCGCGGCGACCTCGGCGAGAGCGGCGGCACCGCGGCGCCCCCCTGCATCATCATCGACGGCAGCATCGCGGACCCGGGGCCGACGGCGGCGCCCGCCGCGCCGCCGCCCCCGCCCCCGCCCCCGCCCCCGCCGCTCGCCTTCGCCTTCTGCACCAGGCACCCGACCAGCGCGACGGTGTCCGGGAGGGTCAGCCAGTGCGCGAACAGCCGGTCGAGCACCACGCTCAGCGCGGGCGCCCCGGGCGCCGGGATCTCAGGCGGCAGCTGCAGCAGGTCCACCTGCAGCGCCAGCGCCTCCGCCGCGGCGCTCAGATCCGCCGCCTCCATCCCTCCCCTCTCCTCTCCCTCGCCGCCGATCCGATCCGGTCGAACGCGCGGCGCGGCGTGGCGCGGCGAGAGCGAGCTCGGCGTGGCGCGTGGCGCGACGTGGGGAGGGAGACGAGGATGGTTTAACGCGGCGGCCTCACGAATCTCGGCGCAATCCCAGCCGTCCGATCCGGTCCATCTGGGCTGCTTCACGGGGTCAACGGCTTTATATGCGATGCAGGGTGGATCGCCAACAGATGCACATGATGTCAAAAACTAAAGCAGCGAGATGTGATGGTTCTTGATTCCTAGATCTCGCCTCTTTGATTTTTCCTTTTCTTTTTCAATGAAAATTTTCAATTCTTGTATGGGCAACTCATGGATAGAGATGTGCATAGTCAATTCTTTGAAAAACTATGGTAACTAGTCCAAATAGACTCGAAGTTTTTGATAATTCATTACCACTAAACAGACAAAACATTATGGCGGATCAATAATTGTACTTCTTAATTCACGTTTTATACAGTAAAAAAGTTAACGAGATCCTCGGAATAATCTCGTTTCGATAAAATGAAACTGCATTGTTAGAATCAGATGAACAACAAATCAAAGGACATACCAATTCAAATCTTGATCCAGACGAAGTACATCAGTAGAGAAATTAGAGATGCTATGACAACGCCTTTTGAATCTCTAGCTTTTCATCAAACAAATGGGGAGAGAAAGAAGAGGTACGTCAATGGCACAAGCCCAACCATAAATAGAGTAGATCTATGGAGAGAAGGATGGGGTAAATGGGTGGAAGGGAAAGGATGGGAGAGGAAGTAGGATTCAGCACCACCGTCAAACTCGCACCATGCATGGCATCATATTGCATCCATATTAACTCGTCAGCTTGTAATACAACATAACAAATAACACACTGAGGTATAAGTTCAAATTTTAGTTCGGAATTCCCCTTTTACTAAATATCACCGCTGCGTTAGCACAAGTATATTACTAGTTTATTTTAGTATTTAAGATTACGCCTCACTCTAGCTTTTCATGTGATGCTTTACTCCAAAATTCAAGAAAAAAAAGGGGGTCATGTGAAGCATCCACATGCTTCTTTTATTCATTCATATATTTTCAATTCTTAGGAATTTTCATGCATATAAATTCTTAATTCAGTACTTTTTTCCTTTCTTGCATTTTGAATGAGAGGCATAGAGGGTCACACATATGAAGATTAATCGATAAATTGGTAGGGATGCAAGTGGCCGATCCACAAACCCACTTATAAATAATTTAAACCTCCATGAAAATGATTTATAAGTGGATTTACGTGTTAGACCTCTTATGAAACTGAACGTTTGTTTGTTTGTTTGTTTGTTTGTTTGTTTGTTGTTGTTGTTGTTCTTGTGAAATGAAGCGTGGTCTCTCACCTCACTTGTTATGGTCTTGTGGAGAAGGCAAAAATGGCCAGTATTAGCTGACAATAGTGTGAGAATGATTTCAGCCCAAGCCCATAAGTACCTTGCCCAGATGTAAACAATTGGCCTACAATTTTTTTTTGACTTAATTGGCCTGCATAATCTTTGGCCCAAGATGTCTTACTTTTGGGTTTTGGCAGGATTATTATCCAGATGCACGCATATTTTGGCTTTTAAAAGTTGATGGCAGGTGATGTGAGCTATATAATATACAGATTAAGATTAGACAAACATACATATATGCATGATGCCACAAATTATTTCCACATCTCTAATAGCTCCCACTACAAAAGAATAATCATACTTAACCATTGCCTTTGAACAGTTTAAGAAGTGCATATGCAGAGCAGAGATATGGCCTAACTTGGATAAAGATGAGTGGATATTACTACCGGATATAGAATTAATAGGCGACAAATGGTACATGCATTGCATGTACTACTGCTTAATTTAACTTGTTGACACTGTTCATGGACTGATGGACATCGAATCTTGTTCGAGGGGCACATTGGATTGGGAAGTGCTCTTTGTTGGTATTCTGGATTAAGAAAAAGCAAACGATTCGCTTTGCAAATGGTTTGTAAAATAGCTTTGGACTTTTGGAGTATATATATCTATAAATATATGCACATATCCTCTGACTTCTATGCCAGCCTGCAAACAGTTCCACTAATTAAAAAACCTTAATCTGATCTTATTCTTCGAATAGAGGAAAAATTATTCATAGGCTCATGGTAGCTTAGAGAGTATTCTACTGTCTGTGTATTGATCAAGGAATTGTTACAAAACATCATCTCAATTTCTACCATTATATCTCCTCTTTCCATCTAAACAAACACCCAGACTTGTACAAACCCCACGAATAAAAACATCCACATTGCCACTACCGTCCTATACCACCTTGCCCATATGTACAAGTAATGCTTATATGGCTTATCGGTTTTTTAATGTCTGGTTTCATTTCTTTACTGTCTTCGACTACTTGTGTTTATCTTTTCGAAGAAAATCGGTCAAAACCTATATATAAAATTTTGAGGTTTCAACATGGATGAAAGCATAGTTCAAGGTAAAATTTTGAGTGGTTTACAAGATATTCAAATTTGAAACAGTAAATTCGAGCAAAATTTGGCAAGAAAAACATCGTACTAGAGGGGGGGGGGGGTTGAGATTCGACGGTCCATCGAAAAGGTAAACATTTCTCGCCCTGTCGTTCTTCTCATGTCCAACAATTCTCCAGTCTACACTCACCATCTCTTTCCTTCGCCTCCTAATTCTTTCTCTCTTCGTCGGCTCTCATCGTCAGATTTATTGTTGTCTCCTCTAACCTTCTAATTAACTAGTTTTAGCCTTACTCACCCATAACACCATTGGCTGAACGGCTTAAATTCACCAGTGACTCTAGCAACAACAACACTTTCGACGGCCGATAACAATTCTCAGTCAACACCATGGCTCCTCCAGATCTAGCAATTTCTTTTCCTCCTACCCCTAACCCCCTCTTCTCCACCCTACCTCTATAACAACCATCACCCCAAACCCTAACTCCATCGAGCACTTATTACCTTCCTCTTTAGAGAGGTGGTGGTCGAATTATAAATCTACGAGCAGTTAATCTAAAATTTAAGAATTTGTAAATTAAATAAGAGCTTAATAGAGTACAACATTTTTCTTAATGAAAGCAATACAAACACAACATTATATGATCCGATCCATTTCATGGAAACTACGGTTGGCAAAAACTTTGTGCGCTGCCTGCAAAAAAAAAAAAAAAAACAACCAGTTTATTGGGATTAGGAATTTCGGATGGGAACGGGGCGAGATAGTGCTCAGTGACTCGGTAGTCATCACTAGGCCGCGACAGCATGCAGATTGCTTTAATTTCATTCTCTTTATAAAGCAAAAGAGAAAGAAACCAATCAAAGCATGCCACGCGTCACTGTCAAGATCACTGATCACTAACCGATGATAAATCATTAATTAATCTCCAAGTTAATCCCCAAATTTGGTTAATTAAACACTCTTAATTCTTCACAAAACAGTAGCTAATTAGAAAAAAAATTAAGATCCGGTAATTCATCCTCTCATTAGCAGGAAATTATGTTACAAGATTAGCATATATATTTGCAGGTAGCAATTAGCATTGCTTCATATGCCGTGAAATTAATAGGAGAAAACTCTGACAAAATCGTTAGCTCCTTGATCACATGTAGCTTGAAACATCCACGCATGGCGGCGCCGGCGAGCCACTACACGGCGGCGCCGTTCTTGACGCCGGCGTACGTATTACGGCTGCGGCGGGGCCACCACCTTTGGTGCTGGCGCGAGTGGCACGCCGGTGGCGGCGGCGGCGGCGAAGGCGAGCGGGGTGGCGCTGGCGAGGAACGACGGCGAGTCGTCGCCGGCCATCACGACCACCACCCTGGGCGGCGCCTCCCTGTCCAGCGGCGCCAGCACGCGCACCGACATCATCCCCGGCGGGACGACGACGTCGCCGCGCTCCTCGCCGCCGACGCCGCGCCCCCCGTCCTTCCGCCGCGTGCACAGCAGCACGGCGAGCGCCACCGCGATGAGCGCCATCACCACCCCGAACCCGATGAACAGGTACGGCGTCGGCGTCGACCAGAACGGCGGCGGCGCCACCGCCGCCGGCATCGCCGGCACCGACGACGTCGACGCCGCCGCGCCGCCGATCCCGCCCATCGCCATGTCAGCCGCTCCAGCCGGCCTCATTTGCAAGAAATTAAACCAAATTAATCCTCTCGCCTTGATCAATCTCAGCTAAGCTTAAGCTAATCAGCTAGTGTGGTGTGATGTGAGGCAACTGAGCTGAGCTGGTTGGTTTATATAGGGGAGGAGGAAGAGGATGCATGGGAGTGGGTCACACTGTCATCACACTGTGGCTGGGCTAAACTGTGTGCTGTGCTGTGCTGCTCCCAGGTTAATCTCTAATTAATTTGTGGCCACTAGTAATTTAATTTGATTTGATTTGATTGGTTGATTAGTTAATTGGACTGATGATGGTTAATCAGATGGATTTGGTGTTTTAATTAATTTGGTATGGAAGAGAGATTTGTGGTTTTGCTTTTTGAGGGGAGTGGAGGATCAGGGAGCTGATTTGCTTGCAACTAGTCTGGTTGTATATGGTTTGATGTGTGATTTTGTAGGGCTTTATTTGTTCTGGCCTTGTGGGTGCATATATGGATAGGATTGTGCCTAGTTTTTCTTCGAAGGGATCTAGATAAAAAAACTTGATAGGGGTTGTTTGTATTCTCGCTTTCTCTTCTTTAATGAAATTGGCAGAGCTCCTGCTCTTCCCTAAAAAAAATTGTACATTTGTACTATGTTAATTACTTGTATACATGGATAGTATGGCAGCTGGGTATACTAATTTGAAGCTTGCTTTTGTCTCTTTGTAATTTGTATATATATATATATATATATATATATATATATATATATATATATATATATATATATATATATATATATATATATATATATTCTAAAATCACATCCAGCTAGCTATATATATTCAGTGGGTCTTGGCTAATTAATTTCATGGTTTAATTTATCATTGTACTTTGAGGAAATCAGTTAATTAACAATTTTGATAGCACAAAGGACCCATTTGATTTGGAGCGGATTAATTATCTATGGGACATATAAATATTTCAAGAAATAAGCGTAACAGACAATTTTTAAATAAAAGTAGTTTATGCAACACAATAAAAAACATATATTTTTAAAATATGAAGCAAATAACAATCCGGTGAAAGCTTAAAAACTGCCCCGTCGTTGCTGGACAATAGACAGGTAGTTTCAGGCAAAATGCATCCAATAATTCACATCTGTGGATATACACAGAGAGGCAGCTAGAGATCAGAGCTGTGATATTTCAAGGCAGGCAAGTCAAGTCAGGAAAAATAAATCTTTTTCCAGACACACACACGTAGACGATCGTCATCAACTATCGGCATATCCCAAGATGGAGCTGGGTTACATGCAAGCACGCACTAGCAAACAGCATTAGCAAGCAATGCAAAGCTCATCAGCCGAAAGCACTGTGAAAGGGATAAGAGCAAGCTAATTAAGCTCTCTTCGTCGTTAAAGTGGCACTACTAATTAACCCTGACAATAGATGATCGAATGATCGATGATATATATTAATATATGCCATATACTTAACCCTAGCTAATGGTCTTCCAAAAGAGAATATTAGGCAGAGCCTCGACCTGATCTAGTAGGTAAGTATACCAGTAGTCAAAAGTTAACGATCGTAAGACTTCTTTTGATCAGGTCTCTTCCTCGTTCTGTGGCTTTATCAGCAATGAAATTTCGCGTACGTGATTGGGAGAGGACAAATTAAAGCGTATGTAGGTGTGTTTGGTAAGGAATGAAAACCTTTTGCATTCTCTCACACCTACATACTCCTATATGCTAGCAGCTACCTACACTTTGTTCTCTCTAATATGGTCTGGTTTAGTTCCCAATTTTTTTTTCAAACTTTTAACTTTTTTATCACATCAAAACTTTCCTACATACATAAACTTTCAACTTTTCCGTCACATCGTTCCAATTTCAATCAAACTTTCAATTTTAACGTGAACTAGACACACCCTATATGGTCGTCCTCTTTCCGACTCCCTTCCCATCGTGCACAATGGTTTGAAATCTCCCCCCGAAATTATCAGTTTTTTTTTCAAATATTTATGAATTTAGCACTGAAATTTTGGTGGCTACCGAAATTGTAAACCTTGCTGTGTACACACTAAAAAAGACTAGAAAAAAAGAGAGAAAAAACAGTTGATATTAATTGCGCGCTCCGCATTAAAAAACAAAAAAATTTCCTAAAAAGAAACAGCAATAAAAAGGAAAAGTATCTAGATAAATAAATCATCGATTTATGCTAGATCCACTTCCTAGCTTAGCCTTTTTTAATAGCTAGTGTGAGTCCATTGTAATGTACGGGGCATCTTACTAGTGTCGTAGAGAGAGAGAGAGAGTGTATATATATATATATATATATATATGTACATACACTGGTGGAGAAACCATCTTTGGTCGGTTGGCCAAATTTCACAATAGTCCCAGTTCTAATAAAAACCGGGACTAAAAAGCATCTTTAGTCCCGGTTGAAAAGTTGAGGTGTACTTTTTTATCTTTAATCCCGGTTGGTAACACCAACCGGGACTAAAGATCATTTTTAGTCCCGGTTCAAAAAGTTGTCGGGTTCCAGACAGATCCCCATTATTTTTACTCCCGGTTGGTATAAATAACCGGGACTAAAAATAGATCTTTAGTCCCGGTTGTTTATACCAACCGGGAGCAAAGACTATCCCGAGAGCCGCGCGCGATCTCCTCTCGATCTCCTCCCCTCTCATTAATATCTCTTTCACCCCCTCTTCCTCTCCCCTTCATCCCCTTCCTCTCCACTTCCCCTGCCGTTCCTCCCCTTCCCCTCGATCTGGAGCGGCGGCCGGCCGGGCGGTAGCGGCGGCACTAGGCAGGAGCGGCGGCGCCCGACGCGAGCGGCGGCGGTGGCCGGGCGGGCGTGCGCGGCGGCAAGCCGGGCGGGAGCCGTGGCGGCGGCCGGGCGGGCGGGCCTGGCGGCAAGCCGGGCGGTAGCAGCGGCGCCCGGCAGGAGCCGCGGCGGCGGGCGGGCGTGGCGGCCGAGCTGGCGCAGACGCCGAGAGGACGGGGACCGAGAGGCCGGCGGCGCCCTCCCATCTGCTGCCGATTTTTTTTTTTGATTTTGTGTTTCATTGGATTTGATCTGTGATGTATGTGATATTGGATCTGATCTGGGATGTATTTGAGTTGTGATGCATTTCTTTTAGGATTTGTGATGTATTTTTCGTTTGAGATTTGGTGATGTGATGTATTTGTGATCTGTGATGTATTTCTTTGCAATATGTGATGTATTTCTTCCCAAATCTGTGATGCTTGTGGATGATTTGGGATATTTAGGGAGCAAATCGATTGAGCAATGAAACAACAACAAAAAAAAAAAGAATCAACCGGGACTGCTCCACCATTTTTAGTCCCGGTTGGTAATACCAACCGGGAATAAAGATGGATTTTTAGTCCCGGTTATTTCACCCGGGACTAAAGATGGGTATCTTTAGTCCCGGATTCGTACTCCCGGTTGTATAACCGGGACTATAGGGGGGTTTATAACCGGGAGTAAAGGCCCTTTCTCTACCAGTGATATATATATATATATATATATATATATATATATATATATATATATATATATATATATATATATATATATATATATATATATATATATCATACTGTCTTGCGACAATTGACTCTTCTAGATTGCTAGCTAGCATCCTCCATCACAAAATTACTCGCGATATATATACATTAATAGATTGATCGTCTGTTGTATGACTGATAAGCCGCAAAAAATAAACAAATCAAGAAAAAATATTTACTGTTAAATCTTTCGTATCTATATATATTCTCACCGATTTAAAAACCAATGAAAAAAATAAAAAAAGCTTAAAAACAACTCTAAATTTAAGTTTTAAAATTTAAATTTTGGCTTCGGCTAAAAAGCCAATAAACAAAGATGAGAGGCATAACGAACACATTTTAAACAGTAACATACGTTGGTCAAAATTAACAAACACAATAGTCACCAACATTTGTTTCCTGTTGTGGGTATAAAAGTAAACAATTAAGTTGGTTCTAACTTTCAAACTTATAAGGGTCTTAGACAAGGAGATCAATTATCTCCAATTCTTTTTAATATAGTCATTGATATGCTTACTATATTAATTAAGAGGTCCAAGGATGATGGTCAAATTAGTGGGATTATTCCACACTTGGTGGATGATAGTCTTTCAATTTTCCAATATGCAGATGATACTCTTATTTTTTTTATTTTTTTTAGAACATGATCTACTACAAACCAAAAATCTAAAATTGTTACTATCGACTTTTGAAAAATTATCTGGCCTTAAAATTAATTTTCATAAAAGTGAATTATTTTGTTTTGCTCAGGCAAAGGAATGTCAAGAGCTTTATTCTACTATTTTTGGTTATAAGCTTGGGAATTTTCCTATGAGATATCTTGGTATTCCTATACATTTTAGAAAATTTAGTAACAAGGATTGGAAAACAGGTGAGGAAAGAATTGAAAAGAAACTCAGTAGCTGGAAAGGTAAACATATGTCAGTTGGGGGGAGGTTGGTGTTAATTAATTCTGTGCTTTCTAGTTTAGCCATGTTTATGATTTCTTTTTTTGAGATTTCAAAAGGAGTTCTTTGAAAAATTGATTATTATAGATCACGTTTCTTTTGGCAAGGAGATAAGCACAAGAAGAAGTATAGGCTTACTAGATGGGATATTATTTGTCAACCCAAAGATCAGGGTGGTCTTGGAGTTCATAATCTTGAAATTCAAAATCAATGTCTTTTGGGTAAATGGTTGTTTAGGCTCATAAATGAGCAGGGCGTGTAGCATGATCTATTGAAAATGAAATATCTTTATAGTCAAACCTTAAGTTGGGTTGAGAAGAAATAAGGGGATTCCCATTTTCGTCTGGTCTTATGAAAGTTAAGAGTAAGTTTTTATATATGGATTCCTAGATTGTGAATAATGGTGTACAAGTGAGATTTTGGGAGGATAAATGGGTAGGGAATTATTCTTTTAAAGATAGGTATCCGTCATTATATGCTATAGTTCGTAGAAGGAATGCTTCAATTGCAAATGTTATGTCTTCTGTTCCACTGAATGTTTCTTTTAGGAGAGCTTTAGTATGATAGAATTTAAACAATTGGCATAATTTATGTGCTTCAATTGTTCATAT